GATTAGTAGGCATCCTTCAGTCTCGAAAGACTATGGTATCGTGCTCTGTATGGAGGACTTGGAACAGCGTCTAGTGTGGCTGAGGAGGCCAATTCGAGAGTGACAATCCCTTCCACACTGGAGACAAATCCAATCTGTCCCCTGTCCAGCTCCCTGGTTTTGCTTCCTTTGTGACTTCCTCTTTGCCTCAGCCTGCTGGACAAGGGTCTCTTCAAATTGGGAGAGGCCGTGATGTACTGCCTGCCTCCAGGCTGAACGATCAGATGTCAGAGTTTCCCATCTGTTGAGGTCTATTCCTAAGGCCTTCAGATCCCGCTTGCAGATGTCCTTGTATCGCAGCTGTGGTCTCCCTCTGGGGCGATTTCCCTGCACTAATTCTCCATATAGGAGATCCTTTGGAATCCGACCATCAGCCATTCTCACAACGTGCCCAAGCCAGCGTAGACGTCGCTGTTTCAGTAATGTATGCATGCTGAAAATTCCAGCTCGTTCTAGGACTACTCTATTTGGAACTCTGTCCTGCCAGGTGATACCAAAAATCCGTCGTAGGCAACGCATATGGAAGGTGTTCAGCTTCCTCTCCTGCCGGGCACAAAGTGTCCAGGACTCGCTGCAGTACAGGAGTGTGCTCAGGACACAGGCTCTATAGACCTGGATCTTGGTATGTGTTGTCAGTTTCTTATTGAGCCATACTCTCTTTGTGAGTCTAGAGAACATGGTGGCTGCTTTCCCAATGCGTTTATCCAGCTCGACATCTAGAGAGAGGGTGTCAGAGATGGTTGAGCCAAGGTACACAAAGTCATGAACAACCTCCAATTCTTGTGTGGAGATGGTAATAGAGGGAGGTGAGTCCACACCCTGGCCCATGACTTGTGTTTTCTTCAGGCTGATTGTTAGTCCAAAGTCTTGGCAGGCCTTGCTGAAACGGTTCATGAGTTGTTGGAGGTCTTCAGCAGAGTGGGCAACAATGGCTGCATCGTCTGCAAAGAGGAAGTCCCTCATGCATTTCAGCTGGACTTTGGTCTTTGCTCTCAATCTAGAGAGATTAAAGAGCTTTCCATCTGATCTAGTCCGGAGATAGACACCTTCTGTTGCAGTTCCAAAGGCATGCTTCAGCATGACAGCAAAAAAGATCCCAAAAAGTGTTGGTGCGAGGACACAGCCCTGTTTCACTCCGCTTCGGATGTCAAAGGGATCTGATGTTGAGCCGTCAAAAACTACAGTGCCTTTCATTCCATCGTGGAAGGACCTGATGATGTTAAGGAGACGAGGTGGACATCCAATCTTGGGAAGTATTTTGAAAAGGCCATCCCTGCTAACCAAGTCAAATGCTTTTGTAAGGTCTATGAAGGCCACTAAGAGTGGCTGTTGTTGTTCCCTGCATTTCTCCTGCAACTGTCGGAGGGAGAATACCATGTCAGTGGTGGATCTATTAGCTCGAAATCCACACTGAATATGAATATGAAATGGAATACACTATGTATTCCATTTATGGAATATGAAATGGAATACACTAGTCATTTAGAAGAGGCTTTTCATATATATATGAAGTACCTCTTCTAAATGACTATTCCATTACATGAATGTATGTATATTAAAGCACCATATATATATTTTTAAAGAGCCATGTCCTGTACATAAAATAAGGCTTAATAAGGTTATAAAAACAATGTATTCCTGGTACCAGGCAGGGTGAAAAAAATAGTTGGAAAATACACCAGCAAGTCAGTTGCCTGTGTCTACTCTACCAGGATTAAGTCTGCGAACTCTTCGGTCACTCCGCCCTACCCATGTGGTCTGTCTCTATGGTCCTGGGGGGAGATCAACCCACAGAGGAAGATGTTGTGGCGCTTGTTGTGGAGTTTCAGCCGCGGAGGTTCGTTCGTCCGTCCTCTGGAAGGGGTACTCATTTTCCTGCCCTCGTCTTTCCCCTTCTCTCAGCCTGACACGTCTCTTTTGATTTCTCCCCACAGTGAGACCGCCTGGAGGAGGAGGAGCTGTTGGCGTTTCCCGCCCCCGTTCGGTGGCCCCGATCCGACCTCCGGAGGGGGAGTCCGCGCAGTCCGAGGAAGGGTGAGCTGCAGGAAGGGGCGGCCGGAGGGTTGACCTCGGCCTGCTCGCGCCCAAGGGAAGGACACGTGATGATGCGCGTGGACTTGGGGTGTCAGGCGTAGCGACCATAGAGGGCGAGGGTGCGCAGGACGCCTCCGTTTAAGTCAGCCCGACTACAACTCCCAGAATCCCCCAGCTGCTCTCCAAGGGAATGCGTGTTGTAGAGGGATAAATAAATACATAAAAATTGCCCCAGCTCTCCTTGTTGCAACCTGGGGGTGTTTTGTTGTAGGTACTGGATTATTTCCCGGGGGTCTGAAGCAGCCGCCCACTGGAAGCTTTCCATTGAAACGGCGCCAGGCATAGCTTTAACAACAAAATAGCAGAATAAGTAATTTTACAGGTGTCACTCATATTTTACAAATTATACGAAAGTTAGCCACTGTCATGTTAGCAGATGATGAAGGCATAAATCCTCTCAAGGCCACTTAGAAAAGCAGATTTTATTTCATTTAGAAAAAGGCACTTGGAAGTATTTTGAACTGCTTTGCTGAGATCACTTTGTCACCAATAAAAATTTTAAAAGTGCATATTCTTACAAGAAAAGAAGAATGTGACTCAGAGTTTCATCCCTTCTATGAAAATGTGGAGAACCTTAAATGGTAATAATTCCCTTCTCTTGCTACATGGAGATAACAACATGGGACTACATTGCAACGCTGTTACAAGATAGGGATACCATGTATTATACTAATACTGTATTTGTACTAGCAAGAAATCTTTGAAAGTTAAAAACATTAACTCCCGCCTTTTTTCTTTTTTGCACAGTATAATATGTGCATAAAGAAAAGTATGAATGTTTGGCAGGAAGACACATATGCTGCAGTCCAAAACATAATGCTGGAAAAGTTTTAGACTACACCGGAATCCTAGATTTCTCTTGTTTCCTGTGAGCAGCTCTCACTCTTACATCACAGGCAGTGAAAATAGTGTTAAAAGAGTCTCTGACATTCCTCTTAAGCCAAATCTAGACCTACCATAATTATATGGAATTATTAAAACCATTTGGGGTGAACAGTTCAAAAGGAAAAGCAGAGCAGGGGAGTTTACATGTTGGTTCTGAATATACAAATTAGGAATATATATGAATACTATATACATAATTGAGTTACAGGTAGTAATGTCTATGAGAAGAAATCCTTGTTCCCAAACATTAAATGCAGCCAGTGTGCAAGTTTCTTCACCTGTTTTAATGCCATTTTTGTCATTTTTTTTCTGGAGACGGCAAGACAGGCATCGGCAGCACAAAGCCCATGGATATGGGAAGCTCTCACATCTCTACTGTCCCTTGGATGCCTTCACCTGGGTAAGTGTGGCAGAGAAGAGTAGTTATTCTGGTGACAAAAGCAAAGGTGTCGGGATTGAAGGTGTGCAAAGGCTCCATCAAAGCTGATTGGATAATATTCAATGCTTTCTCTCTTTTGTCAGAGCGCATTGGTTGTTCTTGCTGTGGAGTTAGCTAAGCAGGTCCGGTGGCTGAATTTTGTGCAACCAGGTGGGGTGGATGGCAGGATTCATCACTTGGAGAGTCAGCTTGCCGTTTTGCCACAACATCAGCACTCAGGTACGTCTATTTGGGGCAGGCAAAACTACAGCTAAAGCTTCCTGTTATGAAAAGAACATGTCGTGTACCACATGTACAGCTCCCGGGACAGAACTGAATTAGAAGCATGAGGGTTCCCATATGTTCAACACAGTGAAGACAAGAGCCCCAACAGTGCATTGGTGTATCTCCTTGTGATATTAATTTGCTTTCCCCCAACTTCAGTCCTTCTGACAGGCCCATCTTCTTCCTCCAGTCGGGTTAAAGAACAAATCTTCAAGGGAGTGGACTCTGGGTGTGCACGGAAGAATCCCACTTTTAGCAAAAGTTCACGGCAAAAAGAATATCAGCTTTTTTCAGAAACAGGTACAAAACGTGATTAATGGAAACCAAACCATGTATTTATTGTTTATTTGTTTGTTTTAAAAGTGTATATTCCACAGGTTTCCCTGGAAGGAGCTCATGTCAGTAAGAAACAAAGTCAACAATTTTTTAAAAAAATCACCCAAAATAAATAAATAATAAAGGTCAGTGCCTGTTCTGTATTTTCACATGCAAACTCACAATAGCAGAAGCTGCCAGAACAGTCTGTCAAGGTACTGTTTGTGTGCCTGGTCACACACAACTGACACCTTGTCAAGAGTGCTGCAGCAGTAGCTTTCTACAGCTAGAACACTATGGGCACATAAATACAGCAGTTAATCACCTTCAGGCTCAGAACATACTTAGGCTCAGGGCAGTAGAAGGTTGGTCTTGATTATGCTCTCTGCAACAACCAGTATTTCTCCAGACCATGAGTGGGCAAAGCCTGGTTCTGAGGTCATAAGCAGCCCACCAACATTCATTTGCTTCCCCCAGCCCTGCCTGAACCTCCCTTTTTCCAGAGAAAAAAGGTGAATTGCTTCTCTTAGAAGTCTCCAGGACTGGCGTTTCATCTTTTACATGGATTGCAAGAAACCCCTGCACTGTTTACTACTCTGTTTTTCAAAACAGGAAGCTACCTGAAGTTTCATTTTCTGTGGCTTTTGGCAGTCTGCAGTCACTATAGAGAGATCTAGGAGGAGAAAGTTGGTTCCCAAATTCACAGAAGCTCCCCACCCCTGCTGTGATCCATGCAGCAGCATGTGTAGCTTTATAAGACCAAAGATCTGAAGCAGTACATCAGATGATGGCTGGGGCATGTGGATACTCACAGTACCTGGTTGTCAATCTGTGAGCACCGTCATCTTGAATTGAGCCCATGAACAAGCCATCAACCAGTGCCACTCAGCTAAAATAGGTGGAATATTGTCAAAATGCCTTGCTCTCAACCAGCAGCCTAGTTACAGCATGTTGTACCATTTGCTGCTTCCAGATGCCTTTCAAGGGCAGCCTCATGTAGAGTATGCTACAGTGGTATGTTCCTGCATTAACTAGGGAATAAATGAATGACCAATCCACTTTTGTCAGGAACAATGATAGCTAGCAACCCAGTAAAAGCTGGAAAAAGAGACCCAGAGCAAGCAACATCATCTGCTGATTTAACTGAACTTAACATCTAACAATCAAGATGTGAATTTAATTAATATTTTTTCATTTAATTTTAATTCTTTTCAGTAAGGAGTCTCATCCTTCCAGGCTTCAGCAGTGTCTATTAAATCATACGTACTTTCCTGTGTTAAGAGTTCAAGCTAAGCTTGTTACTCTTCTGTGTTCATCAGTTAGTAGCAACTGTTTAAAAAGGGAGATATGAATTAAAACATTACCATTATTTTCATAATCTGGAAACTGGGATTATTAATATATGTTTGTAGCAAAAGAAATACTGAGAATCTTGTAGTGATTGACATTGGTCCACCTAGCCCAGTACCTACTCTAGTGAGCAGCACTCTCCTTTGCAGGGGCTTTTCCAAGGCCTGCTATCTGAAATCCAGGGAGCAAAATTGAACCTACGACTATTGTGTGCAAAGCACATGTTCTTACCTATGAAAGTAAATGAACAGGCCAATCTAACGTACGCTACTGGTTATAACCAGCTTTCTGTACTTCGACATAGATCTTCCTCCAACCTCATAAACTAAGACACAGCCCTTTCTAATGCAGGCAAGAGCATTTATGCTTCTATTTTTGCAGTCCCCAGGTCTTATTTCCTGTTCTGCTTTTGTAACATGTAACACAGGTTTCTAAGCCATCCAGTACTAAGACATGCTGTAATCAGGTTATTTATTTGAACTCTTGATGATGCATTGGATGAATGCAGTTTAATGAAAATGGCTTTTTTAAAAAGTAAAATATGATCTGTTCACTATAAGGAGTGTCAGAAAATTTTGCTAATTGAATAGAAAAGTATGAGAAAAATCTATAGGATTGGGAGCACAAACTATGGCAAAGAAGTCAGATCTTGTGATATGGCCTCATCTCTCTCCGTTTTTCTCTGTTTTACAGAGGACTTCCTCTGCCCACCCAGCACAAGCCATGAACCAGGTTCACACCTATCCCCGTTGCAGGTACTGCCTTTTAAACCTTTCATGAAGTGCAGGCTTTTGCATGAATTTGCCTCACAGTTTCTGGAGCAGGTGATAATAAGCTAGGAAGAAGTCTAATTTATCCCAGATAGCTTCATTCACACCTTTGTATTTCAAGGTCTTCTATCAAACTCGGTCTCCTCAAGCAAGATTTCATAGCATCTGTTATGAAAACAAGTTTACCTGTAAAAGAACTGATCCAACTTGCTTTTTTATTTTTACATTTCCTTGGAGAAGACTTGTTTCCTTCACTGTATTATAAAGCATGCTTTTTAATATTGAAAGTTGAAACACAACCATTAATACATAGTTCTGCCACTTGATGGCACCAGATCATTCCAATATTGAAATAATAGACCCTTTAGATGTCTTCAGAAATACAACAGTGTAAATTTCATCAGGCTTTGGGAAAATTAGCTTTTGGGTAACTCTGATATTTTCTTTGGAAGTGTTGACATCAATATCTAATACTAAGGGATATAGTGAGGAGTTAAAGAGAAACTAAACAGTCTAGGAAGCAGGACATTGAACCGGATGAACTCTGTTGTCTGTACAGCAGGGCGAACCGAACATTCTTATGTCATTTTGCAATAGTTGTGATTGTGACCTTTGTCAGACAGAAGGGGAAGAGATGTGATCAAATGTAGGCCTCTCCCCCAAAATGACTAAGGTGCTGTGCTAGGATTCAGAAGGAGCTTCCTCCATTTACAGTTTTGAAACTCGCTTATGATTCATGTATATAGTATTGCAAATTGAGCAGGTCTGCAAAAATAAATTTAAAAAATTAATAAATCACCCTTCCGTTCCAGAAAGACTGTGCCCTGCTTGCAGGCAAGATAATAAAATGAGATCTGTTCTGAGAAGGTTGATTGATCCCAGCTTTTGAATACAACTTGAAACATATATTTCTGGACTTTAGCAATCCTCAGAATTGGAGGCACAATGTAAAGAGCTGACCTTTCCATTGTCCATGCTGCCATGAGATGAATCTAATTGTCCACTTAAAGTGAAGAAAAATGGCTGCTTTGTGTACAGTCTTTTCAAGTCTACAGTCTTTTTTATCCCTGGCCTTTGTATGAGCTGCTTTGAGTCTCCTCTTTCCTGCTAGGCTACTTGTCCATCAGAAAGTGACATACCAGGTGATTTTGATAAGATGTGAAGGCAGCTACTAGTGCTATTTCTTGACTTAAATGGCCTGAACAACAGGGTCATTACTATGGCAACATTTCTAATTGGCAGTTTTCCAAAAACCAGAAACAGGGCTGCTCTTCAGGAAACGTTTCTGTTTGTCCAGACCTCTGATGGAAGATGTGAGTCTCAAAGCTATACAGCTATATAGTTGAGAACACGTTCAACAACTTCAGGAAAACAGTACACAAAAACTTAACAGTCAAAGTAGAGTGTGTGATACTGCTTATTGCAAATTGTCACTGAGGATTTGTAAAGCTGTCCACTTCAGGTGCTTTTACTTTTGTTGATTGTTAGGTTATGAACCTTTACGAACAGACTATATTTTGATCTCCAGCTCCCCCATTCATATGTTCATTCCTTTGGACAACCTGTTTCATTTATGTTGATCTCGGCCCAAATACTGTGAAGGGAACAATGAAGGTGTTGGTGATTACTTGTATAGTGCTTAAAATAAAATAAGCAGTTTTCAGATAATCAACATACTGGTCATTCTAAGTGTTTGTAAGAGAAGGCTTAGCAAACAAAAGGGAGGAAAAGTGCAATTGAAACAGATTTTTTTAAAATAAAGTATGGAGAATTTTATTAAACACAATTCCACAGTTTTTCTTATGCAGACATTCAATTATTTTTGAAATAATAGAATAACCATTGGGCTTGTAGCACAGGAGAATGTGTGTATGTTTCAGCTGCCTTTGGGTCTCATTTTAATAATTTGTCTGTATGTTCATACACAACAACTTGCGAGGGTAGCTTGCTTCATTCCTTTGCTTTCTTTTAGTTTGGGAATATTTATTCTCAGATCAAGGGTATGACTGGCTAGCTACAAGGGGGTTTACACCACATATGTGTACAAGCCGTACTACTTTCCTGCCATTATAATTTGAATAAGAAAGAAGGAAAGGTATAGTGATCTTTCCTCATGCTAACTTATATTTTAGTTGTTTGAACACTGCTTAACCTCAGTAACAGGCTAGGATGTTAGAAACCAGTGTCCATTCCACAAGCCTCCTCAGGACTGAGTGGCTGGGCTTTTGTTTTTGTTGGAATAACGCAATAGGGTATCCCTCTTGTCACTCTAAACAGGCAGTTGCTGTAGTGTGACATTTCACAGCTAAAACAACTAAATCTTCTGTTGGGACCAGGGGCTGAAAAATTCCCAAATGATCTTCCTTTTAGCCTGAAAGAGGTTACAAAGGAAAGATTGCCTACAGAGGTACTGAGTTATAACAAATATGCCATGGTGATTCTTCTCTCTTTGCAGAGCAACCTGAAAGAAGAGACATCTTTGAATGAAGCTGCTTCACAAATGCAACACGTGTTCCAGGCCAGCATTTCTGTGGCATCCAACATCCTGGGTAACAGCTTGTCAGGCATCATTTGTTTACCATCTGTTTTTCAAACAGGGGCTTTGATATGTTATAGTGTCATAGGACCTGGGCAAAAATTAAAGATTAGGTCACTTGCTCCTTGCAATGTTGTGGCTTTCACAGAAATCAAGATCTTTGCATCTTGGCAGGCTAATAGCATTCTTTTGTTACGACAGCTTGAGGGAAAGGCTGATGCTCTTCTCTGACAAAAACAAAAAAGAATTGTGACATCTTCAAGGACTAACCAGTTTATTTCGGTGTGAGTTTTTATGAATTACAGTCCGGTTCTTCTGAAACACTTCTTCAATGTCTGTCAAATGAAGACTGTAATTGGCGAAGACAAACACTGAAATGCAAAGCTGCTAGTATACTTTTTGTTTTGTTTGTGTTTTGTTTTGTTTTTGTTGTTGGTATTGCTGAAACATCAGAGCCAGTGCAGTTGTATCACACAGAGTGTTGGACGAAAGACTCAGGAGACCTCAATCCAAACTCCCATTTGTCAATGGAAATCCTCTTGGAATGGCAATAGTAAACTGTTGTTATGATCCATCAAGTTCCACCTTCAACTCATGTCGACCCTATAAATGATTGCTCTCTGAAATGTCCTGTCCTCGACCACACTGCTGAGCTCATACAAACTCAACCCCGTGATTTCTCTTAGGGAGTCAGTCCTTTTCATTTTTGGTCTTCCTCTTTTCCTGCTGCCTTCCAACTTTCCCAGTATTGCTATCTTTTCCGGGGAATCCTGCCTTCTCATGGTGTGCCCAAAGTAGGGCAGCATCAGCTTCAACATTTTTGCCTCAAGAGATAATTCAGATTTGGGTTGAACTAGGACCCACTTGTTTTCTTTCCGGCAATCCAGGGCATCTGCAAAGCCCGCCTCAGCACCACATTTCAAACAAATTAATTTCTTTCCAGTCAGTTTTCTTAACTGTCCAGCTTTCACACCCATACATGAATGTGGATGATCTTGACTTTGATCTCCAGTGACACATCATTTTCTAATTCTTTTATTGCTGCCCTTCAAAGTCCCAGTCGTCTTCTGATTTCTCAGCTGCAGTCTCCCTTTGATGGTTGAACCAAGATATACAAAATCTCTTAACTATTTCAGTTTCTTCATTGTCAGTGTTAAAGTTGTGTAGTTCTTCTGTAGTCATGATTTTTGTCTTCTTAACAGAAATCTTAACAACAATGGTAAGCTGCTACCTGAATATCTCACATACCTTAAAAGTCCTATTGAGGTCACGAGAAATCAGAGGTGACTTGACAGCACAGATTAACACAGTTCTCTCTCTCTCTCTCTCTCTCTCTGTGGAAACTCTGTAACAATGTCTGCAATTGTCTCTTCCTCCATTTACTTATAAGCATGTGGCCCTTACTGCTGTGTATGATGGAGATGGTGCTGGGAACAGCATCCTCGTATCTTCCAGTAGCAATGCAGATCTGTCTTTTTCTCAGCTCCAACATTGGCTAGTCCCTTGTCCTCTTTACATTTGGTCACACCTATCTGCCCTTCATTTTCCTGTCAAATCACCTTGTCTTTGTCTCAGTCTCTTGAAACCTAACTTTCCAAAAGTAGCTGGGATGTTTGGACAACCCCTGTTGCAGTAGTTGCCATGATGGTGTTTAGATATCTCAATTCAAAAGGAGAATTGCAGTATTCACTCACTGATCCTTGGCAGTCTTTCATGGTGGGGCATGAGGGGAAAGGGTGTTTGTTTGCTTGTTTGCTTGTTTGCTTGCGAGGGGAAAGGGTGTTTGTTTGTTTGTTTGTTTGTTTGTTTTGATGTTGCTTTTGCTTACTATCTTTTGATGTGGTATTTGCTTGATCCTTTTCAGTATATGTATATGTACTATTTTTGCTTTATACACTGTCTTCTAGTTATGTCAGTTGCCTTCTTAAGGAGAAAGATGGGGTAAAATATTTTGCCTTCTTAAGGAGAAACGTGGGGTAAAAATGTTTTTAAATAAATAAATAAAGGGAATTCCTGGATCAGTCTTTACCCATAACAACCTCTGAGTGCTCCAGAAAGTGCTCTGTCGATTGTAGAGCCCATGTTTCCCAGAGAAAAGGTTGCAGTTTCAGTTCTCAGCATCTTCAGTGAAAAGAATCCCAAGCAGCAGCGGTGGGTAAGACTAGATTACAGACCTTGTAAAGCTGCTGCTGTTGGAGAGAATGATGAACTGCATAGGCTGATACAAGGAAGCTTCATATGTTCATGCATGGCAGTCTCAAAAGTTAGTTATTCCCCTCTCTACATGTGTGCTAGATGTAGGATATGTTTCCCTTCTAAGGAATTTCCTGGATGCAAATACTGACCCTGTGGATACTAGAGAAGGAGGGGGTGTCGTGGAGGTTCTTTGTTCGCTGGAGGGGGTATAGTTCACTGGTGCACATTCTTTGTAGTAGTATTCAATTTCACTGTATTCAAGTTCTGCCCTCTTAAATTCCTTGTATACAATAGAAGAATGAAGAGTATAGAGTATTTATTTATTTAATATTTTTAGTTACTGTTTTTCTGAAAAACAGAGTAAACTTTATATTCAAAGCTGATTTCAAACCAGAGGTCAAATGGGATACTACAGTTTTGACCGCGCGAGAAGCTCAGCAAAAACTAATCCAGCCGAACTCCGTCAAGGTGATACCAGAGATAAAGCCCAGTCTTGTGTACTCACCAAGCTGTTCTCTTGGAGTGGTGAGACGCTCAGCACAGCCTCAGCTGAAGACCTAAAATTCTGAACAGTCTCATATGGGAGGTTGCAGTCTTTCAGCTATAATGATCCCAAGCCTCAATGCTGTGCAGCTCAAAAACAGTCAGTTGAACTGTGCTTGGAAACAAATTGGACGTTAGTGCAGGTGGTTGAGGTGTAGTGACAGGTGCTCTCTGAAGTGCACACAAGAAAAACATAATTTGCACTAGCCAGGGATTATGAAACTTCCCCAGGTCAGCTCTGCAAAGAGTGCATCAGGGTAGCAGGATCACTAGAGACAGGTCTCGGCGCTGTCAGCATAATGGTTAGACCCAGGCATTAATTACTTAGCATCTGACAGAGAGAGAAAAGCACATGGAAAATCAGCTGTTGAATCGCTGGTAAATTGACATTTTCCCTCATCTGGTAGCATACGTATGGGATGATGACAGCAAATATCTCATAATTGTAAAGAACCATATATAAATAGATCAACTGCACTTCAGCAAGTCACCAACTCACCATGGGCTAGAATCCTACTCTTTATTTACAGTAGTGTAAGTGCAATGATATAAGTTATGTGACTTGCTGTGCTACAAGTAGTACAAATATCAACTCATTAATTAGCAGTGACTTGCTGTGCTACAAGGAGTACAAATATCAACTCATTAATTAGCAGAAATTTGCCATTGAACATCATTGAATATAAATAAAATAAATAAAACAAGCTGGGGAAAATAACTAATAGGATTTGGGCCATTAACCCCCTAAGCATATCATTATTCCGAAGAAGCATCCCTTTCAAAACAGCACACATTTATCTACTTCCTCCACAGTTTTTTTACTTGATTCCAAGAGAGACAGACTTAAAGGACTGATGGATGTCATTAGCCCCCCCACCCAAGTCTGATGGCACCTTTTGATTTTGTTTTGTTGTACATACTGAAACACACATGCCTCTTAGAAAAATGAATCCTCTGACTTCCACAAAAGTGTTCATTTATTGCATGACTTGGACACCATGTTCATCATTACAGTTTCAGCTTGGTTGTTGATCTGGCTGTACCAATCACTCGCCTTCTCCTCACTATATGCAAATGCTGAGATAACAGTTGCTTGAGATAGTCTGAACTTCACACACTCCATCACACTCATATCCTCCTGCCATTTTCTTTCTACAGTGGAATAAATATTGTATAGATAAAGCAGAAGCGGGGGGGTGAGACAGTCTATAAGCAAAATACAAAGTAAAAGTTTGGTACCGGTAATACCTTTACAGGAACATCACCAAATGATGGGCTTTAGAATCCTCAGGGCTGTTCATCAGACTTTTGGCTTGCAGTTTGGGAGAAACTGTGGCTTAGAAAAATCATACTAGCTACATGTTGGAGCCATACAATCTGACGTTAAATATTGTGTACATAGTTGAATATGTTGTTGTTGTTGCATACAGGATTAGTCATAATAATCACAGCGGTTGATGCAAAATTGGTGAGATCTGCACCTGATTAAATAGCAAATTGTGATCATTCTGTTGCATAAACTATGTTTTAAAGAATTCAAGTAGCAATTTTGAAAGAGTTAGCTATATTAAATTTATTTCAGCTGAAAAAAGGGAGTGTTATCACATCATAAATACTGAGATTTATTATACAAGTGTAAGATTCTGAGGATTATAATCCCATTTTCTCAGATGCATGTCATAAAATTGCCTTATTATATTGTAGTATATGTATTTTTTATGTATACTCTGTGGCAGTGGTTCCCAACTTTGGGTCCTCTAATGTTCTAGGACTAAAACTCCCAGAAGCCTTCACCACTAGCTGTGCTGGCCAGGATTTCTGAAAATTGTAACCAAGAACATCTGGGAGCCCAAGGTTGGGAACCATTGTTTTTGGTTGCAGAATTGTGCACATGGTCAGCTATAAAAAAGATAAGAGGCATTTAAGATGTGGATTTATTGCAAGATCCCAAGAATTTCTTAGTCAAAATGGTAACCAATGAGGACATGTTAAGCAAATTGATAGATTAAAACCATAAAGCACATACAGTGTAGAAAGCTAGAATACATTTGTCACACAATGAAATTAAAAGTACGTATTATTGCAACTAATTGTTTGGCATAAAATATGTAAGAAGAGGGGTGCAGGAGAGACAGAAGAGCGCACTGGCTTACTTGTTTGAAACTTGGTTTAGATGCATGATTGTTTAGAGCTGTCACATCCAGAATCACAATGTCCATGATAAAGTCTATTCCTCTTGGAGAAGAAGAACAAGACGAATGTTGGTCAGGCCCTGGCACTTACTTGGTAAAAATCATGGGCCAAGGAGAAAGCTGAACTATTGACAAATGTTGGTCAGGCCCTGGCACTTATTCAGTAAAAATCATGGGCCAAGGAGAAAGCTGACCAATGAGAATCATGTTTTAAGCAGTTAAGAAGTTGTGCCATAAAGGTGGGTCCAGAAACCTGTTGATCATAGATGATGGGGTGAGTGCAGAGAGGGCTGTATCTTTCTCCAAGAGGGGTGCATCAGTGGGGAATACACCAAATGGTTGTCTCTTGTCAAAAATAATACCACAGAAATCAGTTTCTGTGGTTTAAGGCAGATGGGCCAACCTTGTTGCACCTTCCACACAAAAAAATGCTTTCATGGAGATTCCATGAAATGGTTCTTTCTTGTTGAAAAGTGCTATAGAAATGAGGCAGCATACTGTTGGTCAAAGCAGTGATCCAGTCACAGAGAACATTTACAACTTGCCTATGTCGTTCTCTCTTCCAAGGCCTTAAGAACATGCAGGATGGACAGCACAAAATGGCATTTTCCTGTTTCAAGATGGCTGCAGACAGAAACTACGATAAAGCCCAGTTCAATGTGGGAATGTGCTATGAACATGGAAGAGGCACTACGAAGAATATGGCCAAGGTGCTTCAGTCCTTTTATTATGCCACTTATGGGCTTCTTCTCTGTATAGAATACTTGCAGATGAATACATTGCTCAGTTAGACCAGAAGGAATTGGTCCAGCATGTGTTGGAACAGCTGGGCATGTGGAACAACTGCAAGCTATTTGCATTTCCCCAGTGTTTCTCCATAGCCAAGTTTTTTTATGAAGGTATGTCAAATAATTAGAGAAAAGGATGAAGGTAAATGCTGCTTTTGCAAGTCCATGCAAGGACTGGATGATTGAGCCGACACAGGGCATTTAGAGAAGTCATCAGAAAGTATAAAAAAGGGAGGTATCCTATTGTACTGACAAGAAGATTGAGAGAATAAGCCTAGGTAAGAATGAAGGAACTTAATGGGTCAGTTAGAATGACTGCAGGGAGGTTACAGAAAGGGAACATATACCAAATAAGGATAGAAATAAATAAGAGGCTGGGGTCTAGGTAAAGAGAGGAGTTGGAGATGTAAACAGAGCCGGGACTTCCGTGATCGGTTTCGGCACACCAGATTGGCTGTACACCTTGGAGTACCTAACCAATGGGGAAAGAAGGGAGGGACCATGCGGCCAGGAATAGGGGATAAATGCTACCTGTATTGTTGGGTGCACCTACCCAGTTAGGACACCCGCTTTTGCAAAAGTGCTTTTTAATATAGGAGAGCTGCTTGTTTTCGTGATGGTCTGGTTACTGCATTAAGTAACAAGGGTCTAAGCATTTCTTACAATAAGAATTAAAGAACTGAGAAGCTTTTACACAACCCAATCTTATGACCGTAAACAGACTGCTCAGATATAAAGATCCTTATGTGTGTGTACATACAAATATGCATACATATTATACTCAGAAGAATGCAGGTGAGATAGAGAACTTACATTTACACCAACCTGCTTACATACATTGAATTTTTGTTCTATGATGTACAGTGGTGCCTCGCATTACGACGTTAATTCGTTCCAGCGAAATCGCTGTAGAATGAAAATATTGTGATGCGATTTTAAAAAGCCCATAGAAACGCATTAAAACCAGATTAATGCGTTCCTAGGGGCTTCAAACTCACCGTCCAGCGAAGATTCTCCATAGCGTGGCCATTTTCGCTGCCTGTGCAGCGAGGAATCCATGCGAAAACAGCAGGCGGCCATTTTGTTTACCTGGCGGCCATTTTGAAACCGCTGATCAGCTGTTAAAAAATCATCGCTTTGCGATGATCAGTTCCTGAAGCAGGGAACTGATCATCGCAAAGCGAAATTACCCCATAGGGAACATCATTTTTGATTTCTTTGTCAAACGGAGCACCCGTCTTGCGGGGCCCCACTGTACTCACACATAACATTGTATCTTGTGATCAGTGGCCAAAATCCTGTTGCCACACATAACACTGTCTCTTGTGATCAGTGGCCAAAATCCTGTTGCTTTGTATAGTAAATTGCACTAGAGTGGGTCCATTGAACCAATGGAGATTTAATCAGCCAACTCCTCTGTAAATTCTGTTGATTCACATGGACCTACTCTAACTATGGCTTACTATGCTAAAAGCAAGTTACAGTAGGCCATTTGAATCAATGGGATGTATGGAGAAGTTGACTTACTACATCTGCATTGATTCAGTGGGCCTGCTGTAGTCTGATCTACTACACTAAGCAACAGGATTTGCTTGGAAACACATGTAAATAGTATTTCTGTTTATTATTTAGTATTTTCAGGCAGTGTATAAGTGAATCAGTGGATACTGATCCTACTGTACAGTATATGAATATTTCGATGCATTAGCTCCAGTATCAGGGGAGTATACGTACCTCTGAATAACATTTAGTATTGAACACTCACTGGAAGTGGCTGGCCACTGCGGAACAGAACGCTAGACTGATTCATCACCACTTCTTACATTCTTATATAGTGTAATAAGTTGCTTGAAAGTTTCTCTTCCCCTCCCCACTCCATGCAGTGCCTTCCCAGTTGCTGGTCATTCTTTCTTGATTGGGTCAAATATGGCAACAGTTTTGTTTTACATTCTGTGGGACTGAAACAGAAGGGCATCTGTTTGTTGTCTGGCTACATCTCTTGTGATGTACCACCTACCTTTTCTGATGTTCTCTGTTTTTTAGGCACTGTTCTACTACCGACAAGCAGCTCGCCAAGGGCACACCATGGCTCAGTACCATTATGCAAAGTGGCTTCTCCACCACTGGCCCAGAGCAGACAACAATGATGGAAGTCTAAAGGAAGCAATGGGGTTTCTGGACCAGGCAGCCACTTCAGGACTCGTACAGGTGAATATGAGTTAACTTGAGTTTTGGGACAGTGCTCAAAGGGAAATTGGCCTCACTTGAAGGGACGCTGGCAGTTATAGGTGACACAAGAACCTCTTCCTTTACTCCTCTAAATTTAGCATTGTGTGTGATTAGATGAGATGTTCTCTGGGCTTCTCTCAGGCAGTGAGTTCTAGTGCAGATAGTAAGACAGCACCAGCTTTCCTATGCTTCACTGTAGTTAATGGCCTTCATGTAAACAGTGCCTGTAGGGTAAATCTTGAAACAGAATTTGGGAGGGGAAAAATCATTACTGACAGCTTAAACATTGTCTTTACCTTTGATAGGATGGTGCTTAACTGTTTGGGGCCAGAAGGCCATCTTCTAGCTGTACTACATATACCCAGGGCTAGATCTGTGCATAAGTTGTGAAAGCAACAGTTCAGGGACTTGGGTTATGAAGGACCCCTGTGCACCAAAAAACAACAACACAGTGGCAGCAAAAATAATGATTTTTAACAATATATATTTTTAAATAATGCTACAGGGCCCTCAGCCTGTAGATACACAGAGTGTGAAAGTAGGATTTTCATATTTTATTGTGATTGGGTTGTTAGTTGCCATCATGTTATGTACGTAGAGACCCACAGTGGATCTGAGGGAACAGGAGGGGGGGAGGGTGTTGGAGGGGGCAGCCATTGAGGTTGTGCAGTGTAGGGGAAAGAATGGCAGTGGGGGTAGAACATGCCGACAGAGGAGATGTCGTAGATCTATCCCTTCTTCTAGTCCTACCCCCAACCAGTTGGTATCAGGTGACCATATCAGCAAACTCTCAAGCCACACATTGCTGTTGATGAATGCCAGGTCAGTACAAAATAAGATTGCCCTCATCCATGATGCAATTCTGGATGAAGGTGCTGACCTGGTGTGTATTACTGAGAGGAGGGTGGTGTCCCCTGATCCCAGCTGTGTCTGCCTGGGTACTTGGTCCAGCACCAGTGTTGCTCGGAGGGTTGGGGAGGGGGAGTTGCTATAGGCCAGTGGTCAAAGAACAGGGGTAATTTACCCCAAATCAGGTAAAAATGAAAATCCTGGGGGTAATGAGCAGAGCGCTGCCCCCCCCCCCCACCCCTGCCACCCTGCCGCCTTGT